GATGGAAGAAAATAGTGGCCAGCGATGGACAATACTTTGAATCATAAATGTATAATCAGTTTTTTACAATAAAGCCTTGAATTTCGGAAAAAAACCGCATGAGCAAAGTCATACGTCTTATATTTATGAATGTTGCAATTAAGCTGAGAGGTATTGTGTTTTTATATTTGTTTCAGTTATATGTTTTAATTAGATGATGCTGTTATTAATCGTTTCCATTGTTAGTGACTGATTTCTTGTAAATCATGAAAAATTTTTTGTTGGTCATTTTCATCTATTATTATTCTTTGTTATTATTATTGTTATTAATATAATTTATTATTTTTCTATTATTTAATATATGTCCATAATTTTGTGTTTTCTAATGTCATGTTTTATTTTATGATATATTTCTTTTTCTCTTCTTTCTTCAAATATCGTGCAAAGAGCATTAAACATCCGTATAAGTTGTAATAAATAAATGAATAAATAAATAAATAGATAAATAATTAAACATCATATATAATTAAAACAAACGTGATTTATAAATCAAAACTTATGAAAAGAAGAGCATAAAACGGCACAAGATATTGTTTGTGATATTTAATTATCATTACATTAATAAAACATTAGACGTTTCGGCACAATCTGGCCACAATCTTCAGTAAATTCACAAAACTTCTTAAAACGCAAAATTACATATATCTGACATTAAATTCAGCCGTCGTGTAATATAATTATGTATAAACGTGTTTTTTCATCTTATGAAGGTGCATCGTACAACAATGTTGCAGCGCCAATTGTCATATTGCGAATTATGAAGAACAAGAATTTCCAGATTCTGTTTTACAGAAAAAATGATGAATCTTAAGTACTTCCTTTACACAGATAGAAATTCGTCGTGACATTGTGTATTATTATTTTCAGAAAATAATAATTATTTACAACTTTTTACTAGAGAAAGGGAACGCTTCTCCCAGTAATACATCATGGCGGCTACTGGATACTGGGTCATGAAACTTTTTTCGTAGGATGAAAAGTGAAAAATGAAAAATGTTTCCATTAACTTCAATGATTGAAGTTTCCACCTTTCACTTTCCATCCAGGGATAAAGTTTCATGATTCATATCCTGTACTGGAAATCAGCAAATGGGAACACACCCACTATCGATATCTTTATGTCGTTGTGCAGTTTTTTTATCATATAAAATATCTGTGCAACGACACTGTAACGATAACACTGTCGTTCAAAATTATAGATTATGCATACAGAGTTGCGTTCCAAAATTCAACTCTGTCAACTCGAATATTATTTTATTCTTGTCGATCATCGAATGTTGAATAAATATAAAAGATACTCGGAGTTGACAGAGTCAAGTTTTGGAATGCACCCCCCCTCCCCCCGGGGTCGATACAGGTTTGTTCGCGTCGCATGCTTCAAATTAATCCGGAGAGCACTTGGATCACAAGTAAGATGGCGATTGGAGCAGTTGGATTCTAGAGTCACTATAATGAGAGTCAAAAGTGTCAAAACATAACTTTCTCCTTAGGATTGGTCCTGAGTTCATGCGATGATTAGTGAAAACGTGTGTTTGTACAAAGACACCGTGTACGTGTTAATGAAAGCAAGGTTCTAGCAATGGCGATTTCTTCCGGTTTGTTGTCTCAATTCTCTTTCATTAAGCCGGTTCTACATTAACTGCAAGCCGATCGCAAGTTTGTTGAGGCAGCCAATCTGAAGCTTGTATTTTGAAATCAATGCTTCATATTGGCTGTCGCAACAAACTTGTGTCATTAAATGGAAAGTACCCAATAATGGCTCTTGCACATAAAACGCGACAACGGTTGCTGCACGAAAATTGGCGCGATAGCCAAGGTCTCACTTGCTTGGAAATAGTAGGTATATAATTTCCACCGCACGACAAAAGTTGAATTTAATTCAATTTTTGCCGCGCAGCGGAAGTAATATTGAGTCATCTAAAAAGTATCCGCGGTTTTTTGTCACTAGATGTGTGTTGATGGTCATATATCTAGTGACAAAGTACCGCGGATACTTTTTAGATGACCCAATAGTTCTTAGCTTCATCCAGTTTTCTATTGGAAGATACGATCAATTATTCATGCAAAAGTCCGTTTGGTAAATTTAGGTTATATGACTAGCAAATGAGAAAGCAATGGATGCTCTACTGCTTAAACGAATGCACCCTTTCTCTTTTACACGTATCTTAAGTCTTGTTCATTTTGTCTCTCGGGAGTTGCTCTAAATGAATCCAACGTACTTGAAATATAGGATTCATACTGTGTACGACATCCGTTATACGATGTCCGACATTTATCGTAAGGCCTGTTCTACAATAGAAACGTAAGCGGTAAGAAATTAACCAATCATAATCGCTTATTTTTCTCACACTTAACTGTGATTGACCAATTTCTTACGGTTTACAACTTGCGACTCTAGAACAGGCATAACAATTACTGGATTCATACTGGATCCGACGTGTGTCGTAAGACGCTCTGCAATCAATCAGAAAATAAGATTTTTGTATCATCGATACAAAATAAAATTCTGCTTTCTGATTGATTGCAGAACATCGTACGATGAATGTCGGATCCAGTGTGAATTCATCAAATGAATGGAATCAGATGTCATACTTGAAAGCCTATATTTCAAGTACGATGAGTTCATTCGGAGCGACTCCGAGCAGCTCCCAAGAGACGAAACAAACAATACTTTGGACACACCTTTGGGTCATAGGAGATATAGACAATGTTCCCTCCATGTCTATATGCTCTAAGTTTCTAACAGTAAAGACACTTAATGACGGAGTCAATCAGAATTATATTGGGTCATCTAAAATATCCGCGGTTTTTTGTCACTAGATGTGTGTTGATGGTCATATATCTAGTGACAAAGTACCGCGGATACTTTTTAGATGACCCAATAGATACACATCTCGTGTATATGTTTACATGTATCGCAGAAATTAAGATAATTCAATAAAAAGTTATTATTTAATATCAAGTATCAAGTGCATGATGTAAACTAAGCTTTTATATCCATTGTAGATTACGTTCCAAAACTTCTTCTCTGAGGAAAATTTACTGGAAATATATAGTATACGTAACGTATACTATAGCATATACAATAAAATCTTCCTCGGAGAGGAAATTTTGGAGGACGTAGTCCTAGTTAGCACGTGTATCAAATTCACAATGTGGCCATGATAGAGAGTGATTCACTTGTACACCGTAGCAATTGCCAGTCACAGCGACTTCTGCCTAGGGAGTTTTTTTTCTAGCGCTATAATTGGCTTGTGCACTAGTAACTTTCTATTGAAATATCTTAATTTCGGTGATATGTGTGACATATACATGATATGTGTATTTAATTAATCATTTTTAAGTATATTGTACGAATTTAATTCGTCATTCTTTAAATATTGCTGAAATTAAAATAATTTAATAAAAAGTTACTACGTGTATCAAGTGCACTATGTAAACTAGGCCACTGATTAGTACCTGTATTAAGTGCACGATGTAAACTAGGCCTATGGCAGTCTGAAAAAATTCTCTTAAGGCATATCAAATGGAAGTCGTACTTGTGTGTGTGTGATAAAGCGTGTCTATGGTTTACGGTAATTTTGGTTGTAATTATATTTCTCATGATAGTACGTCTCGAACGGTACATAGAGCGAATGTCGTGAGCAGTGACCGTATTTGTTACAATTTCTGCCAAATTGTTAATTGTAAGTATATCGCAGTGTTAACTGTTACTGAATCTTTCGAAGGCTGGATGACGTTCAACTTTAATGTAATATGAAGCGCGAGTGCTCTGTTTATTGATTATCTAAGATTCATTTGGTATTTCAATTTTTAGAAAAATTATTTGAATGTATCTTAAAAGTAATAAGCACATATATCTCTCATGTGTTTTGTTTTCAATGAGTTTCATTTTAAAACATTTCAACATTTCAATCCAAAAAGTTTATATTTGAATATGAAGGCAATGGTATTTGTATAAATGTTTACTTTATAACAGAAATGTCCCATATTACGGCTACGTCAAGTGGAATGGAGCGTAGTATTCATGAAATGTTGAAGGATGCACCCTCCTTAAATGAAAGTGATAGTGCTGTACATACTGGAACTCCTCCTCCTCATGTACCAAACAATTGTAGCAATGATGGTCATCCAAGGCCAGCCACTATAAACTTGAGTCTAGGAAGTCCTACTACTCCGATTTGTAAGTATCAAATATTTTCTTGCATGTATTTATTATTTAATGAGATGATACGGCTTTAAAATTGAAGTAAAAGACATCTGTATGCCTACAGCAGTAGCAGTTTCACCGAGTACACCTGTTCAGAATGGTGATACACAAACCATGCGTACCACCCAAAGTAAAATTGAGAGTTTGAAAAATTGGAGTATTTCCACATACAAATGCACCAAACAATTAATGTATGAAAGATTAGGGAAAACGTCGCGTACTGTGGACTTTGGTGAGTTCTTATCTAAGAGAATATTCATATGGTAATATTATTGAGACTTTCATGTTTTCAGAATTGCCAAAGAGTTTGCGAGTTATTGTTGTGTAGTCATCTATTGTTAATGCTAATATTTCTTGAACTTTATTATTTGCTTTATCAAGATAAGAAGTACATTGATATCGAGTATGTTCCTTGTCCTGATAAAGGACAATAATTCACAAATCCTTTGGAACTTTCGAATATTCTTAATAAATCATTGTTTCTATATATTAGGTGTAGTAAAAAGAAATCCATTATTTTTCCAATAGATGGCTTTAGTAATCTGTATCACGCATAGACGAGATACAGATTACTAAAGCCATCTATTGGAAAAATAATAGATTTCTTTTTACTATACCTAATATAATAAAAATATCTATTTATTTTTGTATTTTAGAACTTGAAACACAGATCGAATTGCTCAGAGATACTCAGAGAAAATATTGCAATGTTTTGCGATTATCACGAGCTTTGGCATCACACTTTCATCACGTTGTTCAGACGCAACACGCTCTCGGAGAAGCGTTTTCTGAATTAGCACAAAAATCGCCTGAACTTCAAGAGGAATTTCTATATAATTCGGAAACACAAAGAAATTTAACTAAAAACGGCGAAACACTTCTAGGGGCCTTAAATTTCTTCGTTTCCTCTGTGAATACCTTGTGTAATAAAACGATAGAGGACACGCTGCTCACAGTAAGACAATACGAAACTGCAAGGTATGCGATTTTTATTTTAGATATATTGCCATTTCATGTCAATTTTAGTCATGCTATATAACGTGATAATTACTTAGGATAGAGTATGATGCATATAGAACAGATCTAGAAGCTCTTGTGCAAGCTACAAAATCAGACAGTAATAATGTGGCAAGATTAGAGGAGGCACAGGCTAATTATGAAGGACACAAGCAGAATTTCGAAAAATTGCGCTCGGATGTTTCCATTAAATTGAAATTTTTGGATGAAAACAGGGTATTTTTCCTTTATAAATTACTAATTGGCTAATTAATCTCTTCTAATAAATATGTCACTATTTTAGATTAAAGTAATGCATAAACAACTTTTGTTATTCCATAATGCTGTATCTGCTTATTTCTCGGGGAATCAAACTGCATTGGAAGCAACTCTCAAACAATTCAACATCAAGGTGAAATCCCCAAACTCTACTTTACCGTCGTGGCTGGAACAGTAGTCTATTTAAATTGATTTCATCCTACTGTAAAGGATATGAATATACAAATGCGACGTCTGCCGAATTAGTCCAAGTTGTAAAACGCAGAAAGTAAAGGTAAAACAGTTATCAAAAAGAATTCGACGTACATAAAAATTGTCAGTATTGTGAGCTGCCGTTGAATTTGACTACTTAATAAAGAGTGAAAAAATTACGAGATTCATAATGTAGAAACAGATTGTGAATTCAAAGTATAATATCGATTATTAATATTATTTTACATGTATGTACAGGGTACCCCATTTTAAATGACTACCTCAAATTTCTCTTGAATAGTGTATTTTAGAGAAAAATATTTTAAAAAAGTTTTGTGACTTCGAGGGAGACATGGTAAGATGGTATCATTGTTTTGATCGTGGGTGGCGTCAAGATAAGGGCAAGATCACTTTGAATTTTTTAAATGGAACCCTTCATTTTTCATTACATATTCTTATAATTACCTTAAGAGCTTTTCAAAACACTATAATAAAATATTTTTTCATTAAGTACTTTAGGAGTTATAAGGCTTGAAAGTTCAGTACCATCGACATTAGCATTACCCAATGTGTCCGACTGACGGCTAAAACCTCTTGAATGTTGTCCAGGCTCATGATCTGGATAACATTTGTCAGGATCAAGGCCATTGGAAGTCATTGTACCTCTTATTTTCATTTTTACGTAGTAATGCAAAAATGAAAATAAAAACAACCTCTAATGGCCTTGATCTTGTGATCTTTGTGACAAATGTTATCTAGATCATAATCCTGAACAATATTTAAGAAATTTTAGCCGTATCGAACACTTTGAGTAATGGTAATACTGGTGGTGCTGTAATTTTCAAGTCTTATGACTCGAAAAGTACTTAATAAAAATAAACTTAATTATAGTGTTTTGGAAAGCTGTCGAATGAAAAATGGAGGATTCCATTTAAAAAATTCAAAGTGATTTTGCCCTCACCTTGACAACGTTACCCAAGGTCAAATAAATGGTCATCTTACGTCTCCCTCGAAGTCACAAAACTTTTGTCTAAAATATTTTTCTTTAAAATGCACTGTTCAAGAGAAATTTGAGGTCATTTAAAATGGGACATCCCGTATATATGTATATATACATATATCTCGAACATTCCATGTCAAGTGAGCTACCCGTTTTTGTTAAGAAGAATACTTCTTATTTTAATTTAATACGGCTTAAAATCTTTCTTGATATATCTTTATAACCCCCAAGTTACAAGTTGTTATCTCTAATGCTGATTCTACAATGAGTCGGTAGTCGGAAATCTTAAGTCTTAACCAGTTTTAACCTAAATAATTGACTATGATTTTTCGCATCTACCAATTGTTATACAGCGAATCGTTTAGCTCGACTAGTAGGAAGCATGATATAAAGATAAGAATATGTGCGTGCGCATGTCCACGCCCCTAAAGCCAATAAGAATTGTTCACAAGCGTATGCCATCATTAAACAAATTTTAATATGTGCTTTTAAGCATGCCTTTCAATTCAAAAAATTTTCCAACTCCTTTCAATTCGACTCATTTTTTGTCTTATGATGGTAATTTCTACATCCTTTAACTGCATAATGCATTTTGAATATTAAATCACTCGAACTTTGCACTACAGAATTTATTCGGCATGTGCTGCACGTGTTGGTGACTATGAGTGTTCCGATATACATTGTCAGTACTGAAAAATTGTTTCGCTATTTGCAGATATGCAGCGCGCTGCGACAGCGTCTAGTTCCCTTAATGACATCATCAGAAAGATAAATTATGGCTGTGTTCCAAAATTGATTGCTGCAGATATGTCATCATAAAAATATATTACCAACATTATTCCAATTTTAGTAAGCCTGCAATTGGTACGAATATGCATTTCAAATTGAAATACTACTATCTTGGATGCTGCTTCACCTCTTCAGCCGCAGCTGAAATGACAACAAAATTAGTAACGTCTTTACTCTCTCGCAACACTGCTACAGCATACTATGATGATTTTTGGAACGATGTTGACAGTGCTGCCAGCGCTAGCAAACAATTTTGAAATACAGTCAAAGGCTGCGTTTCGTTATTCACTGTCAATACTAACAATATGACGTCATAAAGTACTGCACAAGCGTTTCGAAATTACTAATAGTACTTTTATGACGTAGCAACGTTGCATAATGAAATGGATTTAGTAGTACTTGGCAGTACTGTGTAAAAATGTATAAATATAATCTATAAGTGTCAATGATGAGTTTAATGAAATTTTCTACATCTTCTTTACTTACTAATATGTCATAATTTTTTTTATTTCGCCATCTAAAAAACACATTTTTTTTCGATTTTCCATTTTATTGGATTTCGTCTCTTCACTGCAATTGTCTGACCTCGCCAGCTGCAGTAATAGAAGTGACTCAAAAATTTATGACGTCATATAGATGCAAAAGTATATTGGAAGTAGTATATTGGAAAAGTATATTGGTTTACTGCGACATATATTGGAACAGCATGTTCCAATACTGATAGTGAATAACGAAACGCAGCCTAATGGCTCCGGCACACCAGCGCGATATTCGTCGCGCGCGACACGCGATATCCAATAAAAGTATATTTTTACAATGAAAACATTAGTAACTGTACACTCATTGGATATCGCGTGTTGCGCGTGATGAACATCGCGCTGATGTGTCGGAGGTATAAGGAGACCACTTACGTTAATAAAAGTGGACCGATTTTGTGTTTCGAGTTAAGTTTTGATTCTCGACATTCATGGCACTTGTGAACTTGACAGTCCTGCGCATAATGAGTGCGCCATAGGAAAAAGTGTCACGAACACTTCTATTATAACACTAGACTGCTAATTCTCCATTTTTCTTGTTGTCAGATAGTGGATGCATTCAGGGAGACACTATTCACTTGCGCTATGGACACAAACACTACCAACACTGTTCGTGGAGTTAATAGCGCGATAGCGTTAGTAAACTCCATGAACGATCATAGCGTAGCGTTTAACCAGAGAGATTTAATATTCAAAGTTAAGTTAATGTAGAGGATTCTATTTTTAATCATCGACCAAACTTTTCTTTGTAATTTAAATTTTTAGGGTTTTGTAAAGTAAATTTTTAATTTTCGTAGTGAATAACAGAATGCAATCTCAATTACAATTTCTATGATAACTTGCCGTGAACAACGTAAACTAGAAAAAAAAAATTAATAATTACACTGAATAAATTAATCAAATAAAAGGAAGAATCTTTGAGCATTCGTCATCAATTTGAGAAGAAGTGTATCTATATCTAAGGATCTTAAGCATCTGCAGCGGAATACCCTGCCGCGCTATACTGCATAGTAACTTTTTTCCGTATATGGGAATTAAAAATCACCAATAACAAGATTATTTATGACTTTCATATTTGTAATGAAATCAAATATACAAGTTGAACTCTGCAGAAACTTTGAAAAGTTAAAGATATACAATGATTGTGAATGATACACAAACAAGAATTACGTTCACTCCAGCCTAGTGGCAAGCCATCAATTGCAGAGATTGAAATTGAGATTGCATTCACTACGATAAAATTTGAAATTTACACGTTACGTATTTATACTCTACGAAATTCTAAAGAGAGAAAAGTTTGGTGCCACTCGAGATCCCCACATTAATCTAACTTTAACGAATGTGAAACGCTAGCACCGCTAATCGTTCACGGATCTATAAACGCTAACGCTACCAATGCACTACCTCGGAAGAAATAACATTGATAGCGCGCAGTTGTGACGTAATACCCTATCATTAGTGATGTCATGATCGCACTCCATTGGGTGCGTTCGAGGAGACGCTATTCGCGCTATTTAGCGCTATAAACTGTTCGCAGAACTGCAGATAGCGCTAACAAACACGATTCGTATAAACGTGTACAAACACGATAATTTCATAATTTTTTATATTTTTGTCAAACTTGGCGAAGAAATTCTTCCTTTTTTGGTAGATGGCGTCATAAATTGTGACTCAGTTATAAGTAGATTATATACCCTGGTCTTAGCGATTCTGTTAACTCTTAACGACAATCGTTATGCAGCTTTTTTACTCTACATTAAACGACATCAACGACTGTCGTTAAGAGTTACAGAATCGGCCCCTTAGTCGTAGTACAAGTTAACTAACTTTATCGATTCACCGACAAGGCTTGTTACAATAGCGTCGCAAACTGTAAGCCGTAGGAAATTGACTAATTACAGTCAGAATATAAGAAATATAATCGACTACGACTGGTTAATTTTTTACGACTTACAGCTTGCAGCTCTATTGTGTAATAGGCTTAAGGCCCGTTCTACAATCAGTCGTATATCGATGTCGGCTGTCGCTAGTCGATTGTAAAATGTCGTATGTTGTATGTCGCACATGAATACGACTTGCTATTCTACAATTGAGTCGTTGATCGAAGTCGGAAAGTCGGAACAAATGTAAAGAATGGATATTGAAACGTTAAATATATATTCAAATTTATTATTAATTTGGACGCAAATTATATGATTATAGAATAATGCGATTCCACCTGCTTGACGATTACTATGCATTGATTTAATTAGTTTTATAATATTGAAAAGGATCAAAACGATGATCGAAACATATATTTCAAGTTATTAAACTTGAATGAATTTATATACACAAATTCATCCACTATCAGCTCTTACAGGCATTTCTTAAGTTTGATACAAAAAAATTAAATTACAAGATATTTTTATATTAAATAATAATAATTTAACAAATAAAAAATTACCTGACATATTTATATCATAACAGTTCCTCAAATTTGTGGATATTTTTTGCCACAAATCTTTTTTTGCTAACATTTTTAAAATCCACATCGCTTTATCATACAAACAATGATTTTCGCGAACAAAATCAATAATTATTTCATCTACATTCAGTGATTCCATAATATAATATAAATATATCCATATATCCAAAAATATTTATTTATCCATACACAAATGTGTCCGAAGATTATGTTTTATCTCGTCGTAGGCGGAAAAGATGGGAATTGACAATCTTCTATTCCGACAACGACAGCCGACTTGCGACAACTTCATTCGACAGCCAACAATTTAGTGCGCATGCGTACGCCTGACTCCGACATATGATTGATTATAGAACGGGCCTAAGACTTAAGACTACCGACTACCGACTATTTATAAAA